AGCGCCAACTGCATGGGCCGACTGGGCCCGCGCACCTGCGAAAGCCGCATTGGCCCCGCGTGGCCACGTGGGGGCGACGGGCGATATGCGCCCGTGTGGGGACAAGCCGCATTGGCCTGCGCCAGCGAAGGAACCAAGAGGGCCCCAGAATTGCCAGACGAGGAGCAAGTGGCGCACACAACGCGCGAGAAGCCACGCGGGCAAGCGAGCGCGCGAGGAGACCAGCCGAGAGAACGCGCGAGGGCGGAGCCAGAGCGTGGGCCAGCCCACGCCAGAGGGAAGTCCTGACCCCGATCGAGCCAGCAAAACAGACGAGGGGATCTTGTCGAAGAGGAAGATGGATGTACCTGCGCCTGGCGGAGGAGGGAGCGAGGGAGGAACCTGCACAGGGAGAAGAGAGCGGCGAACGGCGCGCGCGCGCGCGGCGGCGAACGACAGGCCAGACCGCCCCGACACGGCGGCAAGAAGCCACGACGCGACGCCCACGACGCACCGAAGGACAGCCGCGACACGACCAGCCAGACGCCCCCGACAGGAAGCAAAGCAGCCAGGAGGGCAGCCACGACAGACGGCCACGACACGGCGACCAACAAGCCACGACAAGCAGCCAGGACACGACACGACAAGCAGCCACGACACGACGGGCAGCCACGACCGCGAAAGCGCGCGCGCCGTCCGCCACGGCGGGACGCAAGCGCACATGCCTGCGAGATGCAAGCACCAATGCCTGCACATCGCACGACCCCGAGGCGCGCCGCGAACCGCCCCGACGCGATCCCCGCGGCGCGCCTGCACGGGGCGTTCGACGCAAAGCGAGCAGAAGAGCAGACTAGCCACGCGCGTGACGACGCACCCCCCTCGCGCGCGGGCCCTTCGCGCGGGGCCGCGCGCCGCGAGGCACGTGCCGTCGCTCCCCCCCCCCCCCCTCGCGCGCGCAGGCCCTTCGCGTGGGGCCGCGCGCCGCGAGGCACATGCTGACGCCCCCCCGCCTCGCGCGCGCGGGCCCTTCTCGTGGGGCCGCGCGCCGCGCGGCGCAAGAAAACGGGAGGCGGCCCGCGCGCCCAGCTTGCCCGCCCGCGCGCGGGCCAGGCGCGGGCGCGAAATTTGTGCCCGCGCACAACGCAGCACAAGCGAGCGCGCGCGCTTTCGATGGCGTTGGGCGCCCACAAAAAAAACGATGCTTCGGGCCTCGGGAGCTGTAAAAACGGTTCCAACTGTTCCTCCTCCTTTTCCTGCCCGCCCCTCCCTTCCCTTCCCTCAGCAGAGCTCCAAACGTCGTGTTTCTGCTGACAGCGTGGGCCGCTGGGTGTCTAGACCAGCTGTTCATCCTTGGTGAGATAAAGGAGTAGGAGAAAAAAGGAAGAGGAGGAGGGAGGAGTAAAAGGAGAACGAGGAGCAGGAGCAGGAGGAGGAGGGCGAGGAAGCAGGGGAGAGAGATGAGACAGAAGGGTGAGGAGGATGAGAGGCAGAGTCAATAAGAGGAGAAGGACGGGGACATGGAACAGGAGAAGGATGAGGAGAGAGAGAGAGAGAGGAAACAGGAGGAGGGGAAGATGAGAAGAACGAGAGAGAGAGAGAGAGAGAGAGAGGAGAGAGAGAGAGAGTGAGAGACGGAGGAGAGGGAGGAGGACGCTGGGACCAAGGCAGGATGAATAGGAGAGAAAGAGGCAGGACTGAGGAAGAAGTCCTCGACCTTTTGACCACGCCGCAACTCCGCCCCGCGGGCGCGTGTAGCTCCCCACTCTGCGCGCGCTACGTATCGCCGCCTCCTCCTCTCCCCCCTCCTCCTCCTCCTCCTCCTCCTCCTCCTCTTCCTCCTCCTTCTCCTCCTCCTCCTCCTCCTCCTCCTCCCCCATCTCCTCTTGACGCTCCTCCTCCTCAACCTGATGATCCTTAACAGCCTCCCCTCACACACCCCTAGCCCGACCCGATTACCCAGATTTCGTGTGGGGGGGACGGGTTCCGCAGGTGTGTTTTCCAATGTTCCCCGACGTCCCCCCATTGGGGATGGTGGGCAAAATTTGCGCCCCTCGGTTTGGATTGGGGTGGTTGTGTAGATGGTATCTCCCTTTCCTTCTCACACTTGTCCAAGATCCTGCCACTCCTACTGTACCGCCTCCAAATCCTCTTTCTCGTTGTCCGATCTACTCGGCGGCGAACGAAGGGGCGAAGTAAAAGGGGGTGGACTTTTTTCATAATACTCGGGAATCCCTGGGCCTTATGAAAACGATATCCGCCTTCCCAGAATAACAACAAACTTATCAGAAGGCGCGAGGGAATCTGAAAAGTCCCGCCGACTTCTGGACACAAAAAGCCTTCGCGTTCTCACTTCCCCATCGCTCGCTGCCGGAAGACCCTACCACCCCTCCCCCTGCACCGCTTCCGAAACCTCCTCCTCGCTGGCCTGTTCTGCGCCCTCCTCCTGACCGTCTTTCTCTTGCCCCCGCTGCACCTGCCCCTCCCCCCGACTCCCTGTCCAGCGCTCCAATTCCCCCCCCCCCCCCCCCATGCCCACTCAATTCCACACTACTCTCCCCCCCCGACTCCCCTTCCTACATCCCCCCCTCCTCTCCCAATTTCGGCTGCAAGCATATTCGCCAACAGTTGCTGATCCACGGGCGGCACGATCGCGAAGCCGGAGGTCGAAACCGTAGAATCAACTCCACCGGGCAACAAAAACCGTCAGGTAGCGCCCACACTGGATCGAACTGGACCCAGCAAGCCCCCTGTCTTCCCATGCTGCTGCTGCTGCTGCTGCTGCTGCTGCTGCTGCTGCTGTTGCGCTTCCTCCTCTTCCCACCCGTTTTGCCACCGCGGCCATACACAGAACGCACAATTCTCTGAAGTGCGTGGCCACCGGGGCCAAGCGTGTGGAAAGGGCAGCAGGTGTCCTCCAACGGGCGCGCCATCCACCCCGGGCGGTGCGCCCGCGCCTGGCACCTGCGCCCCTCGCTCTGGCGGCGGGCCACTGCCCGCCCGCCGCCACCGCGCCACTACCCGTCAGCATGCCAGGCGCCCCCCCTCCTCTCCCCCGCGTCTCGGCGCCGCGGACCACTCGTGGGCTGTGGCCCACGCGCCTGGGGGCCCCTGCCCGCCTGCGGGCCCCCCCTTCAGCGCCGTCGCCGGCCCTTCCTCGGTGCTGCGCGCCCTTCCCCCCGCCGGTCGCCCTTGCGCGTCGGCGCTCAGGGCCCCACCCTGGGCGTGGCCCGGGCTCGCCCGCCCAAGGCTCTGCAGGCAGGCCCCGCCACTGCCAGCAGCTCGTGCTTCCCCACCTGGGGGGCCCGCTGCATCCCCCCCGCTTGCTACGCCTTGCTCGCGCTGCGGCTGCCGGCCCCGCCCCTGGGCGCGCCCGCGACGCCGCCCCGCGCCGCTGCCAAGGGCTGCCCCGCAGCCTTGCCGCCTCGTGCGCTCCCCGCGCCGCCGATGCGCGAGAGCGCCCTCTGCTCCTGCTCCTCCCCTCGCGGCCACCCTCTGCTGCATTCCCCCCTCTTTTGCAAGCGGGACAAGTCGCAACGGACTTGCAGCCCGTCCTCTCGCAGCCCGGACTTGCTCGACGCGCGAGCGGATCAACTCTGCCGCGCAGCGACGGAACAAAAGGGAGGGCAGTCCCAAGAGAAACGCGCGCCAGGATGCGCCCACTAGAAAGCTGCTGGTCGGCACTCCGGTGCTGCTGCTGCTGCTCCTCCTCCTCCACCTGCCCCCGCCGCTCCACCCTAGCCCCCCCCCGCCCACTCATGCCGAGCATCCCGAAATGGTGCCGCAGAGGGAGTGAGGGCCGCACACGGACCAAATTTGAGCATTGATAGCAGAGCAACGGGCACGAACAGTGCAGCGCGAATGGCACCTTTGCCAGACCAGTCGGCGAGGCATCAGGCTGCTGGGAGCAGACCAGGGGCTGCGCACCCGAATCTGGCGCTCAAACTTCCCAAAGAGTTCTTTCACCGTCTTGGCCGGGCATCCAGAACATGGGCCATACCTCTCCTCCTCGTCCTCCCTCCTCCTCCTCCTCCTCCTCCTCCCCCTCCTCCTCCTCCTCCTCCTCCTCCTCCTCCTCCTCCTCCTCCTCCTCCTCCTCCTCCTCCTTCCTCCTCCTCCTCCTCCTCCTCCTCCTTCCTCCTCCCTCCTCCTCCTCCTCCTTCTCTTCCTCCTCCACCTCCACCTCCACCTTCTCCTCCTCCTTGTCCTTTTTCCTCCTCCTCCTCCACCTCCTCCTTCTCCTCCTACTCCCTCTTCTCCACTCCTCTTTGAAATCATCCTCATCCTCCTCCACCATCCCCATGCTCATTTGGAGGTCCCCGGCTGCCCCGAGAGGCACCTGGAGTCCCAAAGGTGGCCCCCATAAGAAGCCAGAACCGCCCCCAAAATCCCCTCATCCCTCCCTTCCCTGGCCTCCGAGACCGCGATTGTTTCAAGACGGCCTCCGAACCTCCTGACCCCACCCCTACACAGTGCTCGTCCTCGATGTGTGGTGATGGCCCAGGAGTCCGCACACGGCCCGTGGCCACCGAACATTGCGGGAAGACCCCGCCATGCCCCCTCCCCCCCATCCCTCCTTCCACCCCGTTCCCCTAAGCCCCCCCTCCCCTGCCCCCCCTCCCCCCGCCTTTCCTCCGTCGTCCACCCCCCCTTTTCCCCTAGTCCTTCATCACATCATTCCTCCTCCCTTCCCCATCCTCATGACACTCCTCTCCCCCTCTCCTCTCTACCTCATGACCTCCCACCTGCTCCTACATATCCTCACCCCCTTCTCTCCCCGTCCCTGGGGGAGCCAAACGTCACCCATACCGCTATTCCCTGGACCTCACTGGGGGCGCCTTCGGACCAGGATATCGCGGCGAATCCAGCCGTGGCGACGAGGGCTTCCCAAGATGCCCAAGAAGGGGAAAACGAGGGAAGGGTAGCGGTATGGGTACCTTTACCTCCGCCCAGTCTCTCCCATCCTCCCTCGCGCTCTACACGCATGCGCGCCAGAGCGAGCCGACAGCGACGCTGCCACACCCTCAGACGTCGGCCATGAGCACGTCGTCGTCCGACTCCTGCCCCCCGTGGCGGACACGCGCGGACGAAACCTCGCTGCCCGGATGCTTCCCGGCGATGCTCCTCCTCCTGCTCCATCTCCTCTGGCTCCTCCTTCTGCACCTCCCACTATTTCACCTCCCATTCCTCCTCCTCCTTCTCCTCCTCCTCCTCCTCCTCCTCCTCTATCCTCCTTTATCCTCCTCCTCCTCCTCCTCCTCCTCCTCCTCCTCCTAAGCGGCCCGAGCCGATTTGCGCGCAGCGCGCCGCTCGCCGCGCCCGCCAGGACGTCACCCTGGTGGTGTACTCCACTCGTGAGGCAGGCGAGGCCACGGCTGGGGGATGCCATGTCTTCTCTTCGCTTCTTGGGCTTCAATCCGCTGTGGGCGAGCGGCGACAGATTCTATGAAGTGATGCTTGAGACAAGCAACTTTGATGCAGTGGCGTTAGCAGGGACGAAGAGCGTGGATCATCATCAGCAGGGTCTTCGATTACTTCGCCAGCGGTGTGTTGGCAGTCTTGTGTTGGAGGCCCCTTTTCTACCCGTCGCCGTACATTAACAATAGCTGCGGGTGTGCCATCGGCTTTGGTAGCCACACTCGTGAGCAACATATCCTTCGCACCTGGCCGAGCCCTTCGTCTGCACGGGGGAGATCTTTAGCGGCACGCGCAAAGTGTGGACCAATCGACATTTGTCCTATTGTGATCTACTTTCCCCCGCGCCCGAAGTATCGTGCCCAGCGACCCCAATACTTTGCGACGGTGAAGGTCTTGGTGGACTGGGTCTCTCAGGTGTTGAGTGAATTGCCGCATCGGTGCACCCCGTTGATATATTGTGATCTTAATGATGGTATTGGTCAGGCTCGTGGTCCCAATGGATGGGAATTGGTTGAGTCTTCTGCAGTCATGGATGCCCCCACTCAGGAACAGCTTCCACGAGGTGCAGGGCAGTCGTTTCGTGAATGTATGGAGTCTCATTATATAATGGCTGGGAACACGACTGGACAAATTCAAGACACTTATTTTGGTTCGGAAGGAGCTTCTAGCATAATCGATTATGTTTTTCTAACCCTTTGTCAATGCAGTATCTCGTGAGAGGGTGCTTCCCTTTACGAGGACTGGGGGCGAAACTCCAGGCGATCCGCGGACTTGGGCCTCGAGACCACCTACCTGTGATGCGGTCCATGACTTACGACAAGGCTGGTTTGCTTGGGGGTCCGCCGACCCAGAACATCCGCTGGAATCGTGATCTTATGATGGTTTCTTTGCGGAAAGGCGTGCGTCGTGCTGACTATCTGACGGCGGCCAAGGAGGATATTGATAAACTACCTTTTGCATGTTTTTAGGATCAGGCGTCTCCAGACGAGTTTTTTGAGCGACTCGAGGATGCTGTGATTGCTGCTGGACAACGTGTATTCTCAGACTCCAGCCGTACATGTTTCATTTACCAGGAGAATGCTGAGCGTCGGCGTCACCTTCTGGCTGAGAGAGTCCGTCTTCGTGGCTCTAAAACTGGAATGGGTGAAGCTGTTGCTGCGGAGGTTGACAATGAGCTTCGCATTCTTTCTCCCACTCTTGCTGCCGAACGACGGCGTGCTGCACGCGCTCTTTGCTCTCAGTTGGTCGAAGAAGTTTCTGAGCAGTGGCGTCGGAGGTTTACCTCAGAGGCACTTTCATTATCCAGGCGACCGGCTCGTTGTAGAATGGGCCCGAAGAACAGAGACGGGCGCCTGGTGCAGGGGGCCCCTCCTTGTCGGGAGGAATGGCTCCAGGTCTGGCAAACTCCTGGGGGGGAAGGAGGAATGAAGGTGCAGGAGGCAGACTGGGTGGCTTGGAGGGCAGAGAGAGAGGGGGAGGTTTACGATTGGGACGCGACGGAGGAGGAGCTGGAGCTTGCTAAACTGGACTTGCAGCAGATTAGGTCTTATATCAAGCGAGCGCCTAAGCGTAGATCGGTTCCAGAAGGTAGTGCACCACTTGAACTATGGCATCAGCTACTCTATCCTAATTGGAGGTCTCAAAAGACGGGGGGATTGGGATATGATACTAAGATGCCTAAAGTTCCTGGGTTCTGGTGGATCCTTTCGGCGGGCCTTGCAAAAGTCAGGCATTTCCAGCTGGGCCCGTTGTATTGGCATCGTAGTCGTGGGGCGGGGCCTTCCCAACAATGCACAGCACGGACCCAGAGGGAAACGAGTTGTACATGTTTTACCAGTCCTGGGGAACGCTTATTATAGCAAGATGTTGCAGAGTGTTCCTTCTCAGCAAGATCACGGCTTCATCGCGCATAGGCGAAGAGAGGCCGCCATTTTTATTGCACAGGTGAACTGCTGGCGTTTATGTCGGGTGCGACGCTCTTTTGTGATGAGTTTCATAGACATGACGAACGCGTTTGGGAATTCTGACTGGTCTGAATTAGAAGTCACGGTCGCCCACGCCGCCTCGAAGGCGAACCGTAACTTGTGCTTGCAGCGCTACGAGAATAGCATGGTCGAATTAACTGCGGAAGAGGGGCCACTTCTTGTCAAACCATTTCAAGGCGGAGTCATGGGGGACCCCTTCACCGTGGCCGCGTTCTGGGTACATTCTCTCGGGCATCTTTACAGTGGGCCTACCAGTGGGGCCGAGAAGACCCGAAGTCTCGTTTGTTGGTCTCGAGGTGGCTCGATTTCCAGAGCGACTTGAGCTTGTTGAAGTATGCCGATGATGGAATCAAAACCGTCGTGGCCTCGGATCACATGACCTTGGGGGACCTTTTTGGGAAGGTTAAGGAGATGGACACGGTTTCGATTCCGTCATGTAGCCCTTCGGGTACGTCCAGAACATCGGGAAGCACGAGTTTTTGACGTATTTCGCCTCCCTGGGGAACCGACCTCGTCAAGCTATTCGTCGAGGTGTCGGGGTCCAGGGCAAAATCAAGGACAGCGCGCGGTACCTGGGGCCCCACGTTCGAGTTCGAGATTCGAGCCACCAGGAGGTCACTCGCAGGCGTTCGGCAGCGAGGACTGCATTCTATCGTGTCGGCGGCATCTGGTCGCTGCCCATTCCCTTTAAGTTGCGCAAGTGTTTGCTCGTGGGCAATGTGCAGAACGCCCTCCTCTCGGGCATGGAGGCGTTTGTCCTCAGCAAGGCTGGTTGTCGCAGATTGGACAGTTGTATTGCGTCGTTAGCTCGGATCGCTATGCTCGGCCGGGCGACGAAGACAGAGGAAAACAAGACGAGGTCCCTCTCTCACTCCCAGGACTTGCAGTACTGGCGCATATCAGATAGTGAAAATGAGTTGCGCATTCGCCGCTTGAAATGGTTTCAGAGTTGGGGGGAGACCCGATCATCATATTCAGCCTTTGTGTGCTATGTTCGGGGATCTCGAGGGCGAAGCAGCAGCAGGTTTCTCTCCGCAGTTGGTGGGTGGTTTGCCCTCGGAAGCGGCCCCCCCGTGGTTGTGTCAGTTAACTCGAGTTCGCGGCGGGGGTAGTCGACAGCGAGGCGATAGATGTTCTGCTGGGGGACTTGAACCAGTTCGGTTCTGAGGAGGACATGGAGGACTTTTGTATGTTGGGTATGGGTGTTCTCAGAGCCGCTCAGGGTCGGGTTCAGGTTCCCTGCTTCCGGCACCAGCTGGGTCCGAGGGGCCTCCTGAAGCGCTTGAAGGGGATTCGCAGTGTAGGCGTATGGCTAGCACTTCTACGGGTACATGCGGGGCCTCTTTCCACACACGCAAGGCACTCATGAGCCACTACAGGGCACATCATAACGTACGAAGTTTAGCACACGTGATCACACCTACGAATATATGCGTGCACTGCCGACAGATATGTTCGAATAAGATTACGGCATCTAGGCACCTCCTGGGCTCCATTCTGAAGGGAAGTTGTTGACCACGGGCCCTTGGTCACTGGGGGGATTGCAACAGCCTCGGAGTCTGAAGTGTTCGGTGTGCACATATGAAGCAGCTGATTAACCCGATCTATGTAACCATTTGGCTTCTGAGCATCTACCTTGGAAGTTGCCTCCATTCACGAGCACCGAAAGTACACAGCAGAGATTTGTTCCTGATGGCAGAGCTGATGATGCCATCCTGGTTCAAGAAGAGAGACGGACCCAGCGGGGAAGGACAGTCGAGCGGTGGCACAGTCTCCAAGGCGCACAAGACGGACGGCAAAGGCAAGGGCGCCAAAGGAGCCAAAAACATGATGCGCGTCGTGGAGATGATCGTGCGCCTGCTGCTCACCAACACCCGCGAGCTCGCGGACGTGGCCAGCTCGGTGTTCCTCAGGTGGGACATCGCCCTAGATCAAGGGCCTCCCCGCACAGCTGATCCTGGCGGGCAAGGGATACGACGAGGAGTCCAAGAGTATGAAGGCCAAGCAGGCCGCGGGCGAGGATCAGGACTTCAAAGGGAGAGGGCCGCCACACATTCACATATTCGCGGCAGCGATGAAGTATTGCGCGTCGAGAACTCCTACAGCGGGACCTACTCAGGGCGAGGAGGAGGCGCTTCTCCAGCAGGCGAAGGACTGGTGGCAGCAGTACATGAGCGAGGAGACTTCCTTGAAGGTGATCGGCAGGGCGGTTTCGTACTTCCGCTGCAAACCGCTCAAGAAGGAGACGCGCTACATCATCATGATGAGGACGGACTTCAACAGGCCTCTGGGAGTGGAGGCATCGAAGATCCTCGAGCAGGTGATCGAGGCAGAGGGTGGCGAGTTTCTGATGGGATCTGCTCCGAGGGGGGCCATAGAGAGAGAGCGTATGGCCTGGATCAACAAACAAGGCGAAGCTTGAGTACCAGTTCGCGGTTACAGCAGCTGATTGGACGGGGTGTGGTTCCCCCAGATGTCTTGGATCGTACTGCACGGAGTGCATCATCGTACCGTGACCCTGGGCTACCGCCAATTCCGACAGTTGTGCTTGCTCGTAGTAAGCCGCAGGCTAGAGGGAGGGGACGGGGCGGTGGGTCGGAGCGGGGGCGGGGGGGAAGAAGAGGAGCTCCCTGAGCCTGTGGGCTGGCCACCTTCGTGCGGGATGCGTGCCCGCTTGGTGTGCCAGACCTGACCAGTGCCTCTGCTGGGGTGAGCGAAGGTCTCGCCTTGGAGAGTGATGTGGGGTCCGTAGTGACCCACCTCAGCGTCCGAGTGCGTGCAGAGTTGCAGTGCAAGTGTTCACGAGGTATTGCAGTGATGCAGATAGCACAGTCAGG